TTTGCAAACATTGTAAATTGAGCCGGAAAGACTGATTAGTGGTGACACTCGCAAAGCTTTCAGTACACTAAACCCTTGGTCCTCAACTGGTGGGTTGTGACCCAAAAGTGGGTCACGACCCCATGTTCAGTGGGCCACAACATGCCTTCCTTCTCCCCCTCAGTCTCTCCCTAGCGCAGCACTGTCAGTTCTTGTGCCAAGCAGCTCTTCAAAATATGCTGCCCAGCCCTGTGTGTCAGCTTGAGGTGGGCTGGAAGTATGGCCATAAGGGAGCTCCATCCATACATCATTGCTTACAGCTCCCACATGTGCCCGGCAGAGGTGCCTGGACTGGACCGAACCGACGGCACATTCTGGCTCCCGGCACCTCTACAGGGTGCGCATGGGAGCTGTATAAGCGATGCACGTATGGATGGAGCTCCGTCACTGCACAGCAGCCCACACTAGACCCCAGGCTGAGGATCCACTCCAGTTCTTGTAAGGTAGGGAGACTGGGTGGATTTTGAAATTATAATTTTTTTGGCGTGTGTGTGTGTGAGAATGTCTGTAAATGTGTCCGTGGTTGTGTGTAGCTGTCAGTGGTTTTGAGGGTCGATTGACACTGGTACAGTGCGTTAATCACACAGTCCCATGCGATTGATGCACTGTACCACGCAATCCCACCTACTGCATGTTCTGGTGTGGAAAGTGCGTTGCGTTGCCATTATTATGAATGACACCGCAAATTAGCCTCCCGCCCCAGCAGTCCGACCGAATGCACCCAATTGCCCGGTACTGCAATGCGGCACAATCCATCGCAGTGCGACTTGAGGCGCAGCTTAATGACCAAGGACAAATGTGGGTCCTGAGGTTACACGGGTTGAGAACCACTGCACTAAACAAACTCTTGAAAAACTGATGACAGGTTCCCTTTAATTGTGTCCATAGCCAGGTCATACAAGGATCCATAATATCAGCCAACGCTTTGTAGATGACGTCTGACTCACACCGCGCAGTATGTAGTGACAATGACATTAATAAAGTGTTATAGAGACGCAAACTGCGTTTCCTCTGCAGGACACACCCGGGGCATCCATACGGTAATCCATGACATAAGCGTGTCTGCTGCCAATCTCATGATTACATCCTCCCAACATAAAACCGATCACACGCGTCACCTGCGATCACGCCTCAAAACGCTGACAATTCAGCAGAAATCATTAACACGTCTTGGCTGTGAAATGACATCACACAAACTGCGCCGATTGTAATAAAGATAAAATGAAATAATGATTTGTCCAATGGGAAGTCTTATTGGAAGCTCTATAAACGCTCTCCCTGATTTATAACAACCACAATGATTATCTGACATCATGGCGGCATGTTCCAGGATTCTGGGCACTTCTAGAGCGGGTTCGGATGTGGCAACAAACAACTGACTGGTTGCTATAGGCAACGAGGACGCTTTTTATAGCCAGTAACTTTATATCAGAAGTCAGTCATTTGGTCTAAACACTTCTGTCTAGGGCAGGGGCGCCCACAATTTTTCGTCTGGAGATCTACCAATGAAAAAACACCTGCATTCAGGGGCGGGAGGGGGCGTGGCGGTGCATTGAAGTCAATGGCACCGCAGCCAGGCCCCTCACCCACAGTGCGATCGCCTGCACCCGGAAGCTAGGCACATTAGTGCCTGCGTTCCGGTCCAGTGCGATCTGCAAAAATGCTGCAAGCACTATTTTTGCAGATCGCACTGGACCGGAATGCAGGCACTTATGTGCTTGTGTTCCAGGTGCGGGCGATCGCACTGTGGGCGGGGGGCATGGCTGCGGTGCCATTGACTTCAATACAACCCCACACCCCCTCCCGCCCCTGAACGCAGGGAGTCGGCCGGCTTGCATTCCAGTGCGTTCTAGAGGCGCCGGCGTCCTGTCCTCCCGCGGTGCTTGTGTGGCCGACGTTGCACACGGGGAGAGGTGTCTCGCCCCTTTCCGTCTGCAGCATCTTACACATTCAGCCGGCAGCCGCACGAGCGCCCCCCAACAGGCGTGTGATATCACCCAGCGCCCTGCCTCCAGGATTTTTTATTTTATTTTTATTATTTCTTATTTAATTTTTTTTACTCTTGGGGTGGGGGCTTCGGGTCTAAACATCCCCCTGATATTTCCCTTTTAAAATAGAAAAAGAAATTGAGGACACAAAGTCCTCAATCTCTTTTTCTGCTGTCTCTGTTCTAAATGAATGGAGAGTACAGAGGCTTCCCATTCATTCAGAATTTTTTTTACTATCATCCAGTTTCTGAATGGGGAGGAGCCTCTGTAATGAGTGCTTCTCCCCATTGAGAAGCTCATGAATGAACAGGAAGTGATGTAAATCATGTCCTGTTCATTCATGACTGGAGACCCGTAGTACTAACCGTAGGGGGGGCGGGCGGTGAGGGGCGAGAAAGGTGCCGGCTGTTAAATCCTGGCTGAGCGTCTCTCTCTCTCCTCACCTCTCTGCCTTAGTTCTGTGACAGCGGCTCTCGCCTACGGGAGGAGAGGCCATCGTGATCTACCGCTGATCACCGACTGGTAGATCGCGATCGACCTTGTGGGCACCCCTGGTCTAGGGTGTCCTCGTCTTCACTTCCAAGAGAAGACCATCAACAGCACCACCAGCTGGCCATATCTGGCACTGCAGTGATACCTGGGAGCTGTGGTTCCTCCTGCCAGTTGTACTTTCACTACAGGACACAGCCCTGACCTTCGTTCTATTACAGGGGGCTATTTGTCATCTAGAGATAGGGTCCCTTTAAAGCTGATCTCCGGCATGCCCTCCAGTCTTGCACAGTTGTACCGGCTCCTCTCCTGGAGTGAAATTGCTTCCTCTGATGTCACTGCACACTGAGCTACAACCGAACCTTCAAACCACTCAACAAACTAACCTCCAAACCGATCAATCTAAACTTTAAACCCATTCACATCCTAACTTCCAAACCGATCTAAAACCTAATCTCCAAACCAATTAACAACCCACCCTCCAAAATATCTACAATCAAACCTCCAAACCACTCCACAACGTACGCTCCAAACTGATCTACAATCTAAACTCCAAACCCATTCACATCCTAACCTCCAAACCACACACACTAATGTCCAAACTGATCTACAACGTAATCCACAAACCGATTCATATCCTAACCTCCCAACGGTTCTACAATCTAACCTTCAAACTCATTCACATCCTAACCTTCAAGCCAATTCCCAATTTACCCTCCAAACCAATTCACAACCTAACCTCCAAACTGATTCCACAATTTAAACTCCAAATAACATCCAGATTGGGCTTAACCGATCAATATAATCAATACAAACATTTTCATGATGACTGGAAGCCAGTGCTTCCTATAATAAGTGGCGGTGCCTGCCTACCTAACCTGCTTGTTTCCTTTACAGCATTTCATTCATACAAGTGCCCTTTAAGAAGTTAATAAACAGTGCTAACTGACAGGCAGAGTCCCTCCACCACCCAGCGCACCGGGGGAGTTCGGGAAAGTTGAAGCCTGCTTATTTTATAACATCGGAATGGATCTGTGTAATGAAAACTCGGCGGGCAGCGCTGAGTGAAAAATGTAATAACAGGCCGATGATACTCGGCAGATTGTCAGAAGGAGCTCTCACCAGACGCCCGCTCTTGCTGCACAGGCTGCCGTACTTCAGCCACGTCCTCATGTCCTCGTGGGGGCCAACCACCAGGGACTGGACCATCAGGATCTTCTGCCAGTCTTCTACGATCCGCTGACAGCCCTATACCAGAAAACACAAAGACATCATCGTAAGGCAGAACCGAGACACATTCGCTTCGCAATGCGGCACAAAGCGCTGCCGAAAAAAGAGAGAACAAAAACCTGCACAGGAATGGGGTGGGGAGGGACACTTTGGGGGTTCACTGGGGAATTAAGGAACTGATGAATATACAGAAAATCTGCAAAATAACACACAATGATTATTTTATTGATGTAGTGCTTTAGAGTACAGGTCATTGCTCATTTATACTGTATCTCAACGTTTGTAGTCTTAGATATGCACTTATATTAAACTATATTGTCTCTTCTCAGCCGTGAAGGAGCAGCTTATCCCAGATAGGGGTCTGGTATGGATATTAAGGGAGGATCCCCTATGCAAAAACACACATCAGGAAGATCCCCCTTCCCATCAGGAGCTCCCCTCCCTTCACCCCTTTGCACACTAGAGCCCCTTTCCATTAGAGCCCACTACTTTCCATTAGAGCCAGTGCACTGGCCCCGGGCGTAAAACTAAAAGGAGAAATATGGGGTCAGGACTTTCCCCATAGTTCTCCTTAGGGTAACAGGAGGACACAAACTAGCGTCCTCCCGTCACCCTAGGCTCAGTATACCGCGAGCTACAGCTTCCTGCATACTGAGACGCCGCAGCCGGAGCGGATCTCGACTTAGATGACGGGATCCGCCAAGCTGCGTGAGTGACAGCTGGCTCTGCCTATCTAGAGGCAGAGCCAGCTGTACCCGCCCCCTCCCCCGTCCGTTCCGCCAGTC